TATTCATTTTTTTTTTCCCCTTTATTTTCGGCGTTGCCGCTCCCCGGGGATCCTGGCGAGGCGGAGAGCCCGGCCCGGTGGCCGAGGGGGGGTGCCCAGAGCAGGGCCCGGAGGCTGAGGGTACGGATAACGATAATAATTAATAATAACGCTTTCCCGGTGGAGTTTATGAGGAGGATAAGGGTCTAAAATAGAGAATATTGTGAAATACGCCTTGGGTAGGGTTTGTAGAGCCACCAACCAGCTTTGTGAGTTCCTAGAGACACCAGGTTTATAGGTTTATAGAGACACCGAGTTTTGGGGGGGTTTCAGGCCCATTCTGTTGCACCCCAATCCCCCGGGTCACCGGGTTTGGTCCCTGTGGGGTCACGCAGCCTTCGAAGGCAGCACGAAGTCAGCGGTGGTACCCGGAGGATGCTGGGGGGAGGTGGGTGGCTGTAGGTGGTACCTGTGGTACTCCTGTGGAGGAGTTTCTCGTTCCCAGAGATTTTCTGTCTGTTGTTGTCCAAAAGTTACCGTGTTGGACACTGTTCAGAAAGTTGTGTTGTCTGTCTCGGGGATGTTATGCTGTCAACCTGTCACTTTGCTTCAAAGCATCGTTTGTCCTCAACTTAACTTTCTCTGCGTTTGCTCCTGAAATAACCACCCTGTATGTCACGCTGCGGAGAGGGAAGCTCTCACATTGTTCAGCACTAGAGAAGTCTGTCTGAATTCTCACCTTATATATATATATATATTTTTTTTTTTTTTCCTAATGACCTCCTGTGTAAACTATATACCGTGTTGCCTTTTTCTTCCCTCTCTGAACAGGAACACCAGCACTTCTTTCACACGGGTGTCGGCAGGGCCGCTCGCTCAGCACTCGGGAGTTTCTCAGTGCTGGGTGTGTAGCAGTGAGAAATGGAAGTAATTTGTTTTCAGGGCTGTGATAAATTACGCAGACTGGAGCTGCAGCAGTTTTGTTCCCTGAGCTGTAGCTCTGTCGTGTTCCTTATTGCTCTGTGTTTATTTGCTTTGTTAATTTTTAAAGTAAAGCCGGTTGAAGTTTGGATACTGCTTCTTGTTGGTCATTAGTCTTCTGTTTTAAAGGATGGATTTATTGGAGAATACAGGGGAGAAACCTGATGGGGGATGTTGGACATCCTGGGTCCTCTCAATAGCGTGAGAGGAGAAGGTCAAGGGCATTCTCTATCAACAATGATTCCTTGTTAGGTGCTTCCACTTGTGACTTTTTGCACTTACTGAGTATTTACTCTCTAAGGCAAAAGGACAAAGGCCTCTCGTGGTGTTGCACACATGCCATTTCGGTGGTGCACTATTACTCAAACAGCACGGACAGAATTTCCATCTTTGGAATTGCTACCGCATGGCTGGTGCTAGTTACCCATGAGCATGCTGGCTTCCCCAAAGCAAGAAAATTAACTTGTTTTCCAGGGATCCTGTGCTTTCATTTGATAAGGAACACGTTGTGCAAGATGGTCTGGACAAAAGGCTTTCAAGACACTGCCGGCATGAGATAAGGCTGTTGCTGTGCATTGACAAGAAAACAGCCCAAATCTTCTATTTTGAATTAAACTTGTAGGGTGGGTTTGTTTTTTTTTTTTTTCCCTGTCTTTCTCTGTGGATAGAATTTCACCAGTTACGAATGGGTTTCATATTTGACTCCCAGCTCTTTGTATCAGGTGGAGGGGAGAGTTTCAAGTGACAGAATTCTCTCTAATACCATGCTGCTCCTGAAGATAGGCTGTGAGATTGGTGAGCAAGTAAGCACAGAGGAAACGGTGAAATCCGTTGGTAGCCTCAGTAAGATAAGCTCTGGGTAATGAGATGTGTGAACTCTGCTGAGGTGTTGGTGAGGTAGGGTTGTACAAAGCAGGGTGAGAAAGATCTAGGCAAAACATCCCTTCAGATGCTGGAGAGGATATTACAGTACAGGCCTTTAGGCAGGAATTAATTGGGGTGTCCAGACAAACTGCTGAGGAGAGCTGCGTGTCTCTCAAACTAGGACTAGTCCCTTGAAGAAAGGAAGGCAGCCAGGTTGTATAAACACTTTTCAAAAACCTCCTTAATACTGTTACACACTGGTGTGTTTGCTGAAATCGGTCCCACCTGTCAAAACCAGAATGAATGCGCAAGGGAGACCTGTGGGTCTTCCTTATCTAAAAGTACGCATGTCTGGGTTCACAGCAAGAGAAAGTCGACCTGAACTCCCCTAACCTTATTCCTTCTGAAGAAAGTGCTGGGAGAGAGAGCAAATGTTCAGGAGGGTGGAGTAAAACCACATCGGGGGAAGATTGTGATAAGGGCTGTGACTGCCTTGCTTTCGTGTTCCTGTAATCTTATATAGCTTCAGTCTTCAATTAGACTTTTTTTGGTTTTTTTTCCCCCTTTTGAAACTGTTCGAAGTTTAGTTTTGTGTGGTTTCTATGTTCTATGCTCTGCCACATGGCAATTTTAAAACAGATTTAGTTGTTAGATCTGGTAGACGTGGTGTAAATGTTTACGCTCTAATTGAATCACTGTAAAAATAACTGCTGCTTTCTTTTTTAACACTGAGAGACTTCTGAGCTGGATGTTTTATTTAGACCAAAAGTAAACTTCAGTGATTCTTTAAAGGTTCCTGTCTTACCTCCAAGTGTTGCGTAGCATTAACTGCTTTGTAAGGATGAGCCTTGCATCACGGGACGATGGCTAAGGCGTCTTTTCCAGTTTCCCATTTATGTGGAAGATAAATGCTGAACTTGCATGGAAATCAGTGACTTTTAAGAAAAGCTGTTGCTGTGCTTCTGGTGGTCTTGGGTTATTCCACTGAGGTGACACAGTGAGGGTGGCACGAAGCCTGAGCAGAACTGAACTGCCCAGGGAGCTGGGAATCATGATGATGTTTAGGATGGGCACAAGCCTGTGCGGAGGTAAGTGCAGAAGATTAAGGTAACAAGGGAAACGGGCTACAAACAGCCACCGCTGTAAGAGGATTTCATCCTGGAACTGATTTGGAATTGGTGTTAGGATGCCAAATGCTGGGGCAGCTGCTTGCAGCTGCTAGGAAACATGATTTCTTGAGTTTGTTTTAAAGGGATGGTGGGTTTTTCTTCTGTTGTCTGCTGTTTCATCACTTTATGTTGCTTTTGCTTGAGATCCCTACCTGCTCTGGGGCAATAATCTGGAGGGTGGAGGTGCAGAGAGAGGAGGAGAGGCATGCTGCACATCACTGCACGCTGTAGTACCTACTCTGCATGTAACTAGTCCTGTCGCTCTTATTGCAACACTGCCCAGACGATGCAATCTGGTGCCACAGAAACAGGCCGAGGCAAACACCTCTCCGAGTACCTCGTAGTCGGATTTTGAACTTTTCCTAAATTCCTCCAAGGCGCAGAGCGACGGTATGGTTGTGCGGGAGAAGGTCGCAGGGCAATTTGCTTGGTGGGGGGAACTTTCTGCCCTGCTAGGAGCTGCTAGTAGGGCTGAAACGGGCAGTGCCCAGCGGGAACACAGCCCAGCCACTGCTGACCCGCGACGAGCCGGGAAGCTGCGACAGGTCCCGGCGGATTTTTGGATGCGAGCGGCGGTAGCTGAGGCGCGGTGCAGTTTCGCTCCCTTTCCAAAGGTGATGCTGGAGTGGGTGGGGGTGTGGAACAGCTGGGGTGGGGGGAAGAGCAGGATGGTATCGCAGAGGCCGAGGAGCGAAGCGGTGTGTGGGGCTGGGCTGGGTGTCACTTTTGGGGTGGCCTTGGTGGCTCTGCTGTGCTTCCCGACACCACTAGGTGCCTCTCGGCCTTTGCTCAGCAGCTCTGCCACGGGTGCTGCTGGGAGAGGTGTGAGGGGATGGCGGGCGCAGAAGATACCCGCTGCAGCTTCTGGCTGCTAACGCCACCGCCGTGGTGTGTTTGTAAAAGGAGGATTCTGCTTTTTTGCTTTTTTTTTTTTTTTTTTTTTTTTTTTTTTTTTTTTTTTTTTTTTTTTTATCCAGCATCGCTGTAGCTTTCCTTTTTCTAGAGCTGGGGGTTGGCAGGGTTTGACCATAAGGGCATATGGTGGGGGAAATGTGG